GGTGTGTGGAAAGTGCTGTTCCATCCCTCCTGGCAATTAGTGCAGAAAGGAGACAGAGTGCAGCGTGCTGGCAGATCCAGGAGCTCCTTTGATGGAATAGAAAAGGATAATATATATTTTCACCTTCAGAAAGGTTAGGTAATTATAAATGTATTCTCCTTACTCATAATATTTTAAGCAAGTAATTGTTGCCCATGGGAAAATGTTTAATTATTTCTGACGAACAACTGTGGCCTAGAAACACTAGAACAAGGCAGGCAGAGCGTAGAAACCTGGGCCTGGTTCTTAATTGTGTGGCAATCTTGCCTTTTCATTGTATGTGAGTAAAGTCTGCTATTGATTTTTCTCTCAATTGATTTCACAATTTTTTTTCTAGTTTAGCAACAGAGGGGCTCCCCAATTAGCTATCATATTCTGGACTCACTAGATTAGAGGCTGCCTCCTACCTTGGTGACACAAACCCCATCCCTTTCAAGGTTGGCTGCCCAGCCTAAGCTTTTTTTCTGGACACTTCAGCCTCCTCATAACTGGATCCCTGTCCTCCTTGGTCAGCACAGGGCAATATACAGCAAAACCACGTTTTATGCTAAGGTCATCTGACTCCTTACACAGTCCCATTGAGAGAGAGAAGAAGTAGAACGAACTGTAAGGAACAGAGCCCCCCACACCAACCCTGCCACCACCATCCTGAATTATACCCTGACAACAGGTCCTGCAGGAAGAAAGGCTTTCAAAAGAAAATAGCGGAAGGGGCTGAGGAGAGAACTCAGCATGGCATGACCTCGCCATTGGATCAGTGTGACCTGGCCTCCAGTCTCCTCCAACAATGCAATGACTATTGACCATCGTATCACAATCCCACACTACATATCCAGGGAAAAAATTCCACAGATTAAGGGTCTTTTCTAGGACAGAAGCTGAATGGAGACTTTGATCCATCTCATTTTTGAGCTTACTACCTTCAGCAGCTGGGGCATTCCCATATTTTGTGGGATGGACTGAGTTTGAGGTAGGATGGAAAGACAGGGAAAATAATAGGGCACAGGAAAGGGAAAGAGCCCCTCCCCCCGGATCTAAGTGATGACTCTGACCAGCAGAGGAGCAAAGCCTTCCTGCAACTGCTGCAGGCCTTTCTCCCACCCAGCTGTAAAACTTCAGTTTTCTAAGAATTTCACCAGGAACCACATTTACAAGAGGACATGTACTAAAACGGGGCATGTAATCCTGTGAGTCCCAGGTTGACTTTATCAGGTTATAATTCCAATCCAGGAACCTCCAGAACCATCTTAGGCTCTCACTCATCAAATGAGAGAGATAAAGAAAAAAAGATGTTTCTCAGCAGCTTTTTGAGATGTAACTTGAGAGCCACCAGCTTGGTGTATGTGGCTAATATTAAGACAATCCATTGCTTAGTCTTTCTTTAGCAGCCAGTATTGGGTGTATCTTTCTGAATACCCCTTTTTCTCTTAACTTGCATGCTTAAAACCTATAATAAGATACATTTAATAAGATCCTAGCTCAGTGTCATATTGGCTAGTCCTGAAATTCTTTTCTACGTCAAAGCCACAAACAGAATCCTGGTTTAGCCTGAGTTGATATCCCTAAAAGATTAGGAGAATGCTTCAGGCTGCTGAGGGAGACAGCAGAAGCTGTGTCTCTGTCTCCTCATTGCTCACAATGCCTAGGATGTAGAACTAGCTGATCTTTGATGCTTAGGGTCCCCTCCCCCGCTCTGGGTGCGTGTGTGTGTGTGTGTGTGTGTGTGTGTGTGTGTGTGTGTGTGTGTGTGTGTGTACTTTAATAAGACAGGAATTTAATCTTTTCACAACTATTACTTGCCACTTAGGAATAAGATAGGATTGTGATAGGTGCAGGGAATATAGGTATCAATTTACTCCAGAGCCTAAAAACAAAACAAATAAACAGACAAAACAAAACCAACAAAAAACAACTGGACAACATCTGCTTAGTGGTCTTATTCATCACATCACCAATACACGTGTTCTTTCACATGTGGAAATTTCAACTGCTTTTTAAGCAGATCTCCCTGCTTCTGGAAGACATTCAAACACCGGCAGTTTCTTGCAAATGTGTGAATCTTATGCTTTTCTTTCCTTTGTAAAGTCTTAAATAGAGAATATGTGATTTTTAAAATTCTCATGAAATAGGAGTCATTTCCCAATTTCATCTAGGTGTGAAGTTTGTGTCCTAAACCCACAGCATGGAAATTGCTTTGGATTCTGGGGGAGCGAAACAAAGTGTGTGATCTAATTCCATTGTTCAATTAGGAGGCCTTAGGAAATTCACTTATTGTGTACCATTCTAGAACTCTATTTCTAAGGAACGCAAAGAATTATATCATTTGTTATATAGGCTGATATAGAATTAGTGTTCAACCAGATAATGAGCAAAGCAATTGAATGTAGCTAGAGTTTTCCTGGTCCTGCCTTGCCCACAGTCAGGACAAATCTCTCTCACCCGCCAGTCCCACAGCTGCTCAGACCCAACCAAGTAAACACACAGAGGCTTATATTACTTATAAACTGTATGGCCATGGCAGGCTTCTTGTTATCTAGTTCTTATATCTTGAATTAACCCATTTCTATTAATCTATAAGTTGCCACATGGCTCATGGCTTACCAGTATCTTAACATCTTCTCATGGCATTGGCTGGCAACATCTCTCTGCCTCAGCCTTCCACTTCCTAGAATTCTCTTCTCTGCTTGTCCCGCCTATACTTCTTGCCTGGCTACTGGCCAATCAGCACTTTATTTATGCAGAGCAATATCCACAGCAATTGAAGGCATCACAGGTGTTATAAGATGCACTCCACACCCCACTGCTTCAACCTCAGACATCACAGATGACACTTCCACTGCCACACATGAAGGACAGACCACAGAATCCCTGAAGTGCCCTGATCCTCTGGCTTGCATAAAACTACCCAAGGAATGAGGACCAGAGGACCAAAAAGAAGGAAGGGACAGAACTCAGGACCAAATGATGTTTGTATTCCTGTTTATTTTTAACATACTTCATGGTGTTGTTATTTTTTGTTAGTTTCTTGAGACAGGGCATCACTCTCTGTATGCCAGATTTGGGACTATGTAGTCCAGGTTGGCCTCATCCACCTGATAGTCCTTCTTTCTCAGCCTCCTGAGCACTGGGATTCCAGGCATGAGCCACCACACTTGGTCCTATATCCTCCTTTATTTTAACCCTTGCACAATGCACAGCTTTTGTTTCCTATACCTGCCACCCTAACTGGAGGAGTATTCCTCTGAATGCTTCAAGCCTTGCCCTAAGCTTTTCTCTTCATGACTGCACAGGAAACTTGGGCCTCAGTGAACTGAATGAAAACCCCAAGTCTTTCTGCCTGGTGTGTTGGCTATTGGTTTATCAGCTTGGAAAAGTCCTTTCTCAAGGGTGTTTAAATAGAAATGGGGATAAATGTCACCAGTGCAGAAAAGCATAGACTCTTGGCATAGTTATTATTGCAGGCACTGGGTATGTAGGACCGACAACCTCCCATAGAGAAGTATGCATGGCTGGGAGAAATGAACACATTGTGGGATGCTAGATGGATCCAGTGGTAACGTCAGTACCCTACTGTCTATGAATTAGAAAAAGGTGGAAACTACCTGTCTAATTTGGGGAAACTTAAGCCTTGTTATTTTCAGCCTCCTGAGAATGAGGAAATTTGTTCCAGGATGCTGGGCAGTTGGTAGGGAGCTTGCCCAGGATAGGTCTGGTGGCCCTGATAGCTGAGCTCCTCTGGCTTAGTGAACCTTCAGGGATTGTTCAAAGAACATGGGCTTACCTTTGCTCCAGGGGTAAAGAAAATTCAATCCATCCTTCGCAAGTCTCTAGACTTCTGCCCATCTGGCCAACCAGCTTCAATTTGTAGGTATCTGGGGGAGGGTGGGAGTATCACTGCTTTGGTGGGTTTCCTTGATGACACTGCTTCCTTCCAGAGGCCTCTCCTGATGACCCAAGTTAGTCTTGTTCTACGTTTTCAATAGCAGCCAGTCCCCATCACAGTATTGTTTTCCCATTTTTATTCAAATTTAAAGCTAATGTGTGCACACCTGTATATGTGCATGCATGTGCGCAGACGCCAGAGATTGGCATCGGGTTTCTTCCTCTATCGCTCTTCACTTTCATTTTTTTCCTAGGGGGGGGGGGGCACAGTCTCTCAGTGAATCTGGAGCTGGCAGCTTGAGCTAGGCTAGCTGACCAGCAAACCCCTGGGATTCAGTCCCTCCTCAGCTCCAGGGTTACACATATGTACCATTGCACAGTTTCTTAGCTGAGTCTTGAGTATCTGAACCCAGAACCTCATGCTTTCACAGCCAGTGTGCTACCCACTGAGCATCTCCCCAGCCCTTATCCAAGCATCTCCTCCTGCTTTGTTGATGGCCTCCCTACCAAATGACCAGTTCTAAGGGAGGCAGAAACTATGCCTTCCAGTCTACCAAAAGATTGCTTGCTCCCAGCACCGAGTATGTGCTTTAAAATGCTTCTTGAAGAAATGATGTTTTTCTTGAAGAAAACCAATCTATGGCTCAAAAGCCATATATTAACTATCTCACTTCACTTCTTTATTACCCACACAGAGAGAACTATTATTCTAATTTTATGAGTAAGGAAGTAAGGGTCTAAAGGGAAAGGTTAATCTGTCTGTGAGCCAGGCTAGGAGTTGGATGTCAAGTTTGTCCAGCACCCTTCTGTACATGACCTTCTTCCTCACTCTTTCTATTCACCTAACCCCTCAGGAGAAACTTCAGCAGTGCCTTCCCTCCCCCACACCTGCTGTGGGATCCCAATTAATAACGGCAAAAACCATTTGCCATTGTTCTAAGGAGCTGGGGAATCAATGTGTTCATTAGCATGCTCCCCC